ACGAAGGACACGGAGTTCAGGGCTGCCAGGCCAGCCAGCAGCACTGCACCTGCAAGGATGCTGGATCCGCGTGCCATGGCTGTTTTGTTCTGGGCTGATGTGAATGCCTCTGTTCTGACTCTGGAGCAGCGCAGAACCGGCACCTGATCAAAGTCGGGCATTGCAGACTCCACCTCATGTATTGTTTCCCATAGGCCGAACCCTGAAAAAAAAAGAAAAAAACTTCACTCACCCACAGGCTTGCCACGCACAATCAGCACTTTTGCACATCATGTGTCCGCGTTTTTGTCTGGGTTTATAGGCTGCCTGCTTTTCGCAGGCATTGGCTATATAGGTTGCCGTTCACTCGTTGACAGCTACTCTGGGCCATACATGCGACCTCCTGCAGAAAAAAACAAATCACAAGAGATGTACAGCTTCCCTGGCCGATAGTCAGCATATCCATCCGGACGATTGTTGGCTGTTGAAAACGGATTATCGGGAGGTGGATTCGGTTGATTGGCCACGGTCTGAAATTGATCGTAAAGCTTGATCGAGACGTCCTTGTTGTAGTGTTCAAAGTGAGTTCGGTCTGGTCCTTTGAGTTTGTGCTGACAAAATGTTGGCCAGTGTATTTGGTCCTCGTTGAACTCGATATATGGTCCATGGTCACCATAAACAATAGCCTCATAGCCACATGCAACCAGCTCACCCGCCGAGTCATAGAACTCACAAGACGAATCACCAAGTTCCTTCAAGCCCCATTTTGACTCAACACGATCTTTGTCATGTAGCCTGTTGCTTGAATCCGCAGTAGTTTTCTGCCGCTTTTCATACTGTCTGCATGATCTGCTGATTGATGTCACACTCAAAAGGCCCCAGGACCATGTCCACGCATCATCAAACTCTGGTTTTGATGCAAAGAAGGTACAATCAAACAGACGTCCTTGCTTCAAAACACGAGCTTGTAGAGTGTTTGCCAGCTTTGGACAAACTGTCTCTGGGATGGAAATTGACACACCCTCAGTCAATCCTCTTGTAGGCTCTGTGCTGCAAGTCAACGGGCCTTGGAAACGATCTCGTCGGGAAATGTTTTGCGAATTCAGCTGATGCAGTACTGCAGGAAAAGCAGCAAGGCTTCTGGCCAAGAATTTGGCATTGCAGGATGCAAACCCCATATTGCTCCAACCCTATGGTTTCTACATTCAATTAAATTGTTGAATCTAGAATCTTGAACCTAGGAGGAACCTACTGTATATGGGAGTGTTAAATCGATGATCGAACCATGGCTGGATCAGATTCATGTCCTACACCAACTAAAGATCAAGTACAGTACTACCCAAAACATCCACAAATAGGTATCCGCCAGACTAGATTCTTGTGAGTCTGGCGCCATGTTTCACCAATTTCATTGTCAGTCTCTGAATGGTCTTACATAGCATGTTCCCCTTCTGAGCTGAGCCTAAAGGCAACCACATATGCATTGTGGCTGCTCAAAACCATTTTGATCGGAGAGAATGCGTTGCAAATCAGAAATCCATCATAACATTCTAGAGATATAGTTGGCTTCCGTGGTAGGGCGGGTAAGCTTCTGTGCTTGGGGAGCCAGTGACGCGCACCAGTAACCCACCACCTTCACACCTTCCCACTCATCAGATCTCATCAGATCGACGACAGTGCATGGGAATGCAGAGCCTGAAGCTACCACCAGCAGCAAACTACGTAGGTTTTGTAATGAGCGGGGAAGAAAATGAGGGTGCTCAAGCGGGACTTTCGTGGCATCTGCTCACTTTGTGGCCTCAATTCTTGTGCAGGTTTCACACATGGCTTTGAGCATATACAAGCCGGAACAATTTGATACTCTAAACAATTACACAGCTGCCTTTCCGCAACAACATTTCAGGTGAGTGGCTGCCACTGGTCAGGCTTGTGTTTGCAATAATTTCTTGGAACTCGAAAGAAAATGTACTCGAGACTCATGAATCTCAAGTTCAAAGATTGAAAATAAAACCTCAAGGGTCGCTCTTTAGAACAAAACAACTGAGAAGTTTTCGCTCAACTGCGCTCCTATGCTCTACAATCTCCTCCCACCACGCCAAGTGGGGGTGTTGGGGCAAACAATCTAATGTGGCACCTAAAGGAAACAGAAAGCATACAAATGCAATTTCACATTATATAAGTTTTCTGTGTGCCACATTATATAAGTTTTCTGTGTGCGTGGCGACTCTCATAAAGGGAAAATGATCTTTGGTTCCACAACAATGCGGGCCATCCAGAGCGTACCAGAACGCGGTTGGGCACATTGCAAATTAATAAACAAACAGATTCCAAAGCGTGGGTTTAGCAAAGGATCAGGCAATGGCTGCAAAAAATGCATCATGCTGAGTTGGACGAAGGACTACCTTCAATAAACATGTCTAAAAAAATGTAGAAAGTGCAATTTATACTCGTTGGCATTATTAGCATCTTAACATGCCGTCCTCAATTGACAAGGACCCGTGCACTGTGTGCGATTTGCGACCTGAGGAAGAATCCTCTTTGCAATTTGTGAGAGCGCATGATCTAGACCGAGTGCGATCGAATGGCCAGAAAGACTTGCCTGGTTTTGCGATCATCGAGGTGTTGAGACCATTACGATTGTTCTTTTGAAGTTCTCGCAGTGCACTAAACAAAAAATCAAACTGACAGGCATCAGGCAATGTAAACTCAGGTTGTGTCTTTTTCAAACGGATTCTTGGGGTGCTTGTGTGCAGGGCGCGCGGGTCATTTTATTTGCCGCAAAAGTAGGTCGTGCAGGCGCAATGTTCAGTGAGAACGATTACATCCGCCTCGTTCAAACAAACCATCTTTCTCGAGAAACTGGCAACATAATAATAGGAGTGGTGTTTCCTCAAAGACTGACTTATCATGTGTCATTTTCCCTCGCTGTACATGCAAGAAGGTGCGGAAGGCTCAATTGGGGTGACACACTCCCGGCGCATTGATTTCTACCCTCATGATGAAAAAAAAGGCAGGGGGCTGAACAGCTGAAGTCTTTCCACAGTAGTGAATGTGCAAGACCATAAGTCGGCGCTCAAAGGACCATTGTGGCATAATTATTTAGATGAACGAAGACCGAGTTCAAGTGGATCTTACCACTCCAACTGTAAAAATATACGGTGCACAATATGGACATACAATTACAGTGAAGGACCATTTTCCTGCCAGCAAGCTGAGCAAGCAGGTCCGGCGAGCATCGTTGCCCACCCCGTGGCTTTGGCACCTTTGTGAAAAGCAAAACCTCAATATCGGAACGTTGTTTCAACATGCTGACTTCGCTCATTTTCATATACGAACGATCAAGAACCCTGTTTCAGTCCCAGTACAGGTAAAAACAACTACCAGCCTGTGCAACTTCTGTACATGCTAGTTGCACCAGAAACATCAAACGCTCCACTTAAAACTTGGTCGGGGTTCCTGCAATGATCTCCCTTTCATGTACGATTAATGTATGATAACCAAAGTAGAACTGAAGTGTAGGACCGGATAGACCCACAAGTAACAGTTTTCTGCAGAGTAAAAAATGGCAGCAACAAACAAAAAATTACGACAGGTTGGCCCGAAAGCAAAAGAGGAGAAGTGGCAGAATGTAACGATGATGATGATGAGGATGACGATGACGTTCTAGAGATACTCAATGTTCTAGTACACGTGTATGTCCAAAAAGCTGTTCCTCCTGAGCCTGTGAGTGTGATCCACTTCATCTTGGATCGCAATCCTGATCCTTTGGATCATTGGCGTGGCATAGCTAAAGTTGTCGGAGAGAAGCAAGTACTAGGGTGTGGAGGGTGGGGCTGAACATTGAGATATCTTAGATCCAAAATGGCCCAACGAACAATAAGTATCACAAAACATTTCGTGAGGGGTCACTGGTCACTACAAATGTTCTAGAGATACTCAATGTTCTAGTACACGTGTATGCCCAAAAAGCTGCACTCCGAATCTCGTCTGCTCTCTTTTCACTGCCAGTCGGTTTTCGAATGTGTTGGGATGACATTTCACCAAACAGCTTTCCAACAACACTCGGAATTATAAAACCAAAAAACTTTGAGCGCTGGCAGAGAAAAGAGTCTAGTTGGACTTAAGTGTCCACCTGAGCGGGAATCCGTCAGGATACAGCCGTGGGGCCATGTGAGACCGAAAGAAGCTCGAGAGGCTCATGCGTCGCCTATGGGCCGGTGCAAACTTGATGGGAAGATCACTAATGAAGTTCCATCGGCTCAACAAGTCAGCATCTACGTTAAGGGGTCCTGGAATATGTGAAACATCGCAACTCATTCGTTCTGACACCAAGATGTAAGCGAGGTGTTCTACAAAATAGCAGAGTGGGGTGGATGTGGTGAACAACTTATTGACTGAAGCTTCCGCAGCGACATTATCGCTTAAGCTCTGGAAGTGGAGGGGTATGCAAACAGTGGGACATACTGCAAGGCACAGCAAGATCAAGAAACCTTGCGCTAACGTTTCGTAGGAAGCTATGCCCCGGCCGGGCGGGGACATCGAAAGGCTTGAGATCGAGAACTTTCCAACTTTCAGAAAACCAAAAGATAAGATTGTTGAATTCGATGAGACCACCCACTTGAAATGACTCTCCCTGAGCTGAGGCATCGGCTGAAGCTCGAATATCTACCTGAAACGGCGGGCGCATGCTGCGCAGAGGGGGTGAGAACTTAAGCCAATCAAGCCATAACTTCAACACTCTTCTGCTGTGGGCTGAAAGCTTTCTGTGTTGTGACTTGGGGTTGATAATGCGAAGCCACAAACGACGGTCGGTGAGACGGACCGATTCCACTTCCTGCAAGGTCTGAACAGGGGTATGGCGAACTGAGATGAGTTTAGAGTGAGGTGGCTGTTCCTTGTGGAGTACACAAGAAGCTGAGGTCGTCCGCCAGGCAAGATTTGACCAAGGTCCAACAACCGGGGTTGACACTGTAGTGTGTAGCAGGGCAAGCTACGCAAGTCTGAAAAGAGCCAGTGCAACAGGGCTCGGAAAGGAGGGAGAAGGTGTGTGACCCAAAGGGCCAGGCCCGTGAACTTTTCCTGTTGCTTGCAAGTACACTGGCG